TGATATAGGGAGCTATATAAGTGTTGTATATTAATTGTCTCAGGACATCAGATCCAGATGGAAGTTGGCTAATTCCTCTGTATAATGGTGGAGTAACAGGTCAGTGTCCAGCTAATGAAGATATGGTAAACTAGACAATTTCAGTACCCATGGGAATGAAGTCAAGGTGAGTAATTGCATGTATTTTTTTTTAGACCATTTGGAAAGTTTGTGTATGGTTAATAAGTAAAATGGGAGGAGAAGGGCAGCATAACAAATCTCAGTTTTATTGATCCCTTTCCCACTGTTCTGTGTTTTTTTCTATACACAGCTACCTCCCCTTAACCTCCGTTCGGATATGACTGTAGAACAATTGGGCCAGGTCACTACTGTTGACCAGGTAGCTCAATCAGTTAGAGAGATAGTATAACAGTCTGAAGATCAGGTCATATATCCAAGTCTAGCCCTGCAGTGGGTTTTTTTACACTCGGAACACTGTTGTTGATTATATTTTGTTTATTTTATCTTCGTTATATTTCTCATGAAAGGCCCACAAGGGAAAGTTTCCTTTTCAAAAATGATTAATCAAAGCTATATTCATGTGGGGAAAAAACAAGTTTCCAAAACTTAGTTACAGTTTTGAGCAGTTGTACAGAGGTCCTTAACTCTTTCTGTACCATTGTCGTGTACACACGACAACAATATGTCATCCTGGTCCCCGTTGCCGTGTACAGACGACAAAATAAAGGTCCGTCTCATCCCCGTTGTCGTGTACACACAACAAGGGACTTTGATGTAACCTGCCTGATGTTTAGCTGGTTATCGTACGAGACTGTCGCAAAAAAACAATTAATTGTCGCTAAAGTCAGAACCCATCAGTTTGGAAGAAATAATTTTATTTGTGCAGAGTACAATTTTTTATTATGTGACTTATTGTTTTCACATTTGCCGCAAGATGTTTGCGTTTGGTGCCTCAAATGTAATCAAGATGGCGGCAACTTAATTCGATACGAACACTATTTAGAAAAAAATCAACGACTCCACATTCGTAACCATAATCAATCCCCATTGGAAACCTGCATTACAAAGCTGTGTTAAATACGAGGAATCATATTGTTTATTGCCAGACAAATTTTGATTTCGCAGTTATAATCAGTTGCCAGTTAGTCATTATGCTGCGAAAATGAAGAAGTGTTTGTCTATGAACCAGATCATAAAACAATAACAATATTTGTTCACGGTTACCTGTTTAATTCTTGCAGCAGTTAAACATAGCCTAAAAAGTACATTAATAATCAGCCATTTTGTTATATGCGCGGGGGCGAGTCTAATAAGTACATCCGGTACGGAATCCGGACAGGAGTTGCGGTACGGAAAGAGTTAAGGGGAAGGGGTATGTCTATGACATATGAAATGTAACGTATTTGTCAAGAAGTGAAGGATATCCTTAATAATCTCTTAAGGAGACTGTTGTCAGCCAAGACTTAAGTAGACCATGATTTAAGAACTCATTCCCAACAACCAGCTGAAGTGATAGCTACAATGGACATGGGAAAGATTAAGCTCAGAGCTACAATTACAGAAACATATTTCGATGTCTGGAAGGACCTGACAGCAGAGGACTGTTTATAAATCCTTTCAGTCATAAATATATCTATATATATCTTTATCTACATCATGTGTAAAATCAATTAGTCTTCCAAATAGAATTATTGATATCATATTTAAACCAGACTGGCGAAAACCGAAAACCATATTGGCGGAAAAAATAGTCAGGCTAGCTATTACGCAAGCTGGTTTTATGACTGATCAGACTGGTTAGGCTGATTCCTCTCTAAATATTTCCATAAATATATTCTTGTTTAAAACTATTATAATTGTATTAGCCTATTTAATTTCTGTTGATGAATTCTAAATGTTTCAGTAATAAGTGATAGAAGAAAATTAAAACTGTAAAAATACCTGGACAAATATGTATTTCATCTTGCTCTTTAAAAAGGGAAGTTGATTCAAAAAGCTAGATAAATTCCTAATAGCTAGCGAAGTTAATCTATAAGTTTGTAAGTTGTAAGAGTTGTCTACCCTGGTATTGTGGCATTCAGTCCACTGAAGCTTACCAGTACAGTTTATATGTTCCTAGGTAAAGTAAAACGTGTCTAATCCAACTCATGAATATTCAGACATTCTAATTCAACATAATGCTGTAATCCCTTTCTAACAATAGAACTTGTGTGTTTCGACAACCTGTCTAATCTGACTAATATGTTGTGTCATACAAGGTGTTGTATTAGACAGGTTAATTTGACCAATATGTTGTGACCTAAAAGTTAGTTAATTGTCAGATTACACAGGTTTGAAAATTTTGTGTATGATCGACAATTTAATATACATTACATGTAAATTAATGTAACACTGAGTATTTCCATATAATAGGCAGAGTTCCAATCACAACACATCTCAGGCGTCACCAGATAGTGGGGTTTTATCGGCCGACTATAGTTTCGACTCTTCCGACTGAGTCATATACATTGATTTATATAATGGCTGGATTTAGCTGCCTGTTCATTTCTAAAAAATACTTTCTTCCTTTTTTTATGCAGATTTCAAAACTTAACAGTTCTAATTAATGCTAACATTGTTTTTATTATTATTGAGTTGAAACATAAATGTTACTTAACCTAGGAGATACTGTATAAGGTTTTTTATATATCATATCTGTGTAAAATGCCTCACACTTGCAAACCTTTTGAAAATTCCAAAAGGTCGATTCCTAGTGTGCTTAAAAATAAAAAACATAGATAAAATGCTTGTATAATATATACCCCTTGGAAAAAAATAACACTTTAAAATGGCATATTTTGAGTAGTTATTTCAGATGAAATTGTTAGATCTTGAAATATAGGAATAGTTTAAGGAATTCACTGCTTAAGATTAAGGGTAAAAAATAGGGAGCCTCCCTTCTAGATGGAAAGTATGATGTTTATTATCAAATATTATACCAAACATCTAATCCTATTAAACTTCCTATATAGATAGTATAGGTGAAAATGTCGCTAATTTGGTTCTTGCATGACTGATTAAAGATGAAAATTGACGGCAAATATAAAGAGAGAAATGCTGAGGGACCAATTGAAAAGAACTTTTCAAATATCCATATTTTCAGAATCCTGATGTTAATGTGCATTCTTTCAATGCCAGTAAATCACTGGATGAGCTGGTGATTCAGCAAAGAGCCAAAACCCCACCCATTAAAACTCCTCAAAGTCGGACTTTAGATCACAAAATAATCTGCTTGTATTGTTAGTCATTTAAATCTATAAAATGATATACCTACAACCAGCTTCCAACTGATCATGAGATGACCAGGTGTCTAGTGCTTGAAAGGTAGATACTAATCTGTTTTCTTAACAAGATTTGAGTACAACCTGTTTTGACAGACAGGTGGCCTAAACTATGTACAAATTGAGGAAGGTCTATAAATATTGACATAGTAAATTGTACTCGCTCATACTAGCTGAAAGGCATAAGAATAATTTGAGCTCAGAAATTAAAACGATTTCCACACATATAATTTTTACATCTTCTTTAAAAGAAAAATAGTATAAAAAAAGATTTCATAAGTAAAAGGGGATATGTATATATATATATATATTTACATTTTTCATATGGTGCAATTTAGAAACATATTGTCATATCATACTTGATGATAAATGAAAAAATTTCAATTAAAAATGTTTTATTGGTAAACCATTAGAATTACAATAATACGGATGAACAGATAATTAGAAATATAAAACAGTACATGTAATATCAAAAGGGTGAGACAACACTGGCAGGTAAGTTTACATGTATATATCAGTATTTTACTTAGATAACCAGTTGTTTAAGAAATTAATAAATCATATAAGTGTTATGGTGTTGTGCTTAAAATATGGTGATAATCATATTTGAAATGAATTGAATACAAAGTTGATTTCATGAAAATAAAAATTCACCCCTGAAATTTTATGATGAACCTTTCCAACCTTTGAATTGGAAGAGTTCAAATGTGTATTCAGCGGTGATTTTTTTATGTTCATGAAATTAACTTTGTATTCCATTAATTAAGTTAAAAGGCTCTAATCCTCTAGGCCCTTTTACAACAAAATAACAAAGAACCAGTATTACTGATTTCACTACCAATATAATAGACATTTATGTGCTTTTTAAAAAAGAAATGTATGTCATAATATGTGGATCTTTGTGCGTAGTTTAAGATTTTTTATACTTACAGTTTCAAAACATTTTCAAGTGTAATTTTGTGTTGTGAAGACATCTTTTATTTAAAAATGAACATGTTGAAGTACGGAATTTAATACATCATTTAACCTTAGAGTTATTTATCTTTTAATATGACAATGACAGGAATCTTTAGAAATCTTTTTACATTTTCCAATATATTTTGTATTAGCAATCTAATTCTGTGGTGCTATATTGCTACTATATCTTACCACATTAAGAAAGTGTTATGAAGATATCCAGTGTCAAGGTAAAAATCGGCTTTGTTTACTCAGAGGTTAAGACCGGTTTAGCTTTGTTTGTATCCTCTAAGTTCTGAGCATTTCACACCTAACATGTTCATTTACAGATGGGAGGGGGAGGGCAAGGAGGGTCACTGCTCCGTGTTATACCATCACTCGAGATGTGGCAGGTAGCAGGACGCAAAGAAAGGTTTAAATACCAATCCCCCCTGGGGGGGAGGACGAGAACAGGTATTATTGGATAAATCTGAATGGAGGTGTTTACTTAAATAATCCGAAGGACTTTCTTTTATTTTGATAGCCAGTAATTGAGTTGGGCGGCGTATTGAGAGCACTACAATACTGTTCCCGTAAAACCTCTCCAGATTTGTACAGCTTGAACTCGGCACAATACAATCTCATTATATCGCCTCCTTGATCGAGCTATTACATGATTAGTCCGCCAGTCTTGTTGATTTAGGGAGCGTGATTCATTGAGTAGCGTTGTCTGTATTAACTGTATATTACCTACATGTGTAATTCCCTGTATGAAAGGACACACATTCTGACAGATTAGCGCTGTCCCCTAAAGGGATTCTGTAAGGATACCTACAACTTGTTTATAGTGTCGATTAAGGGATAATCTTTTCCCTGTTTTCTGTTCATCTCGGGGCCCCATAACAGTGTGTGTGGATTACGAAGAAGGCTGATAAAATTTACTGAGTGCGCTATTAATGAAAATCAAATTTGAATTGATCTATAAATCACACGGGTGCAGCAACAGTTTTCTTGCTGAAATTTCATGATTTGATATATATACTGCTATTGACATCGAAACTGATTTGATTTCAATCACTCTGGGGCAACAGCAATTTTCTTGCAGAGATTTCAAGGTAAGACTTCAGTTATAGCTACCTTTTCCTTCAAAATATTTACATGTTTCATAGTTGAATACCAATTATCCTTGACTAATATGACACATGGTAAAACATATTTTGTGAGTTTGTTCAAAATTATTAATATGTATATCTTTGCTTTTACATTGTAATTATTTCCTTCACAGATCGTATATATATAAAAGTGTACAAAAATACCGATACATCTATTAACACATAATTATTGATACACAAATTCTTATTTGGGACGCACGTTTATTATGGTTTTGTCTGTCTGTCTGTCTGTCCTCCATGCTGTGTCCTCAACCATATTACTCTACTGATTTGATGGATTTTTCTCACGCTTCAGAGTATTCTTTCATCTGAGTCAGGATGTGTCGCTTTATTGGCCCAAAATCATGTTTCTTGGGTCAAGGTTATAGAGCATTGACAACTACTACAATGGATGTCTGCACAGTCAAAGCCCTGAATACTCTGGGTGAATCCTCATCATACTGAACAGCATTGTTGACAGTGGTGCATGTCCAAAATAATGCCTACTTGCCAACTCACCCTATTTTTCAACCAGTGAATTTGCTGAACTATTCCTATTTTCAAAGATCTGATGATTTCATGTGAAGGAACAACTCAAAAAGATGCCATTTCAAGGGTTATTTTTTCTCTAGGGTGTACATTATAACACACATTTATTTACGCTTTTAGTCCTGAGCATGTGTTATATCCCCCATGGAAGTACGTTTCATACAGTTGGCTAGTATGATAATGATGTGTCACACCTTTGAAAAAGGTCATATCTCCAAGGTCAAGGTCATGGAACAGAGACATCAAGAAAATAGATACACCATCATTGAATGATATGAGCGTATTTTTCTTCTGTTCAACATGTTATGTATTATGATGAAGGGAAGTGCTTTTTCTACCTTAGTTAAGTCATGTGACCAATTTAGGTGATCAATACAGGTGCTGCGTGGTTAACCCTTTCACCCCAAGGTAACTTTAGTAGATTCTGCCATACATTGATCTGGATGAGTCTATTATAGTCTACAGTGGTGAAAGGGTTAAGGTGTCTTGACATTCTGCTACCACTAGCCCTCCACCACTTAGTTGTGGGTTCGAGACCTACAACTATATATGACATAGGTGGGGAGTTTCCAGGTACTGGCTGCTGGGCGGTGGTTTTTCTCCGGGAACTCTGCTTTCCTCCAACACCAAAACCTGGCACGTCCTTAAATGACCAGAGCTGTCAATAGGACGTATTAAACACTAAACACACCATCAATATCAATACAGGTGATCAATATATAGGTGATCAATATATAGGTGATCAATCATGATAGGTGTTCAGTAAATGTGATCGACAAGTGTTAAATACACAGATCAATGTAGTGATCAATCATAACAGGTGTTCAATATACAACTAATCTTTAAAGGTTATACATGCTGATGAATTATAATGTCAAGTGATCAATATACCTATGATCAATCATGTTAGACAGTCTGTCATATAAGGTGATTTTACAATGTGTTTTAAGGGGTGGTATCAGGGATTTTCCTACCAATTTTTTCCCGGTTCCAGGGTCCAATGATATGGGAAGTTTTATGCGGTAAAATTTGAAATTGGGGGAAAATGAGGGGAAATAAAATTTCATACATTTTCCAGTTTCTGTTAATAAATTTTACTTCTTATCATGATAAATTGCACTCTTTGATAGTGGAATTTCTTATTTATTTTTCAATGCATAAGCTTAGGTCTACAGGTAAACTCTAGTACATGTAGTATAGGCTTAGGTCTAGTGTACAGTTAAACTCTAGTACATCTAGTATAGGCTTGTAAAAAATTCTGATAGCCAGAATGTATTTTTACTATTTTATTATACTATATCAAATATATATGGTAGTTGTAATATTTGTCCATTTCTTTTAAAAGGAAAACTTTGATTTTAATTTTAATGTCATTTATTTACCTAAACCTATTTCAATGTAAAAAAAAAGAAAATACAGTAATAAATGAAATTGAACAGACAAATAAATTGATCATTTCCGGATTCTGTGCCCGGATGTTGGTTCCCTTATTAGAAAACAAACATGGCCGACAGCATGTTTATCACACTGCCGACGTTTTGGACAGATAAACTGCAGTTCTTTACCAAGATTCTTTTGTTAAATAAAAGATACTGAATTAGTTACAAAGATTGCTTCTTTGATGGTTGGTATCACTTTCTCGAGTAATAGTGTTGTAAATTTGTTTTTTATACTCCAACTTTAATCACGCAGGCGAGACAAAAATAGCGAAGTTTTACAACATTAATGCTACGGAAATAACTTGATAACATTCTGATGTATACTTTTGAAATTTAACTTTCAAGGGATTAAAATATATTTTTACTTTTCTTACGGACATGAATGTTTTTACATCTTCCCTCTCCACACTGATCGTATTTAAATCTTGCAAAAATGGCTATCTGATTGGGAATTTTTCAATGGCAAATTTGGAATTTTAGCAAGGTATTCCAAAGGGAAAAGGGCCGAATATTCTATTGTAGGAAAATCCCTGGGTATACTATCTATATCTGTAAGCCTGGCCTGTTTATTTTGTTTTCATTTCTCAACTAAGGGGTCAATCACTGTGTGACGAATTTAAGAAAAAACTTCACAGAAAATGAGGAAAATCTTCTATCCCAGTTGAAATGAAAAGAATTGACATAATTTCTAAATAATAAGGCAGCAGCTCCATAAAGGAATACATGCGTGTGTATTGAAATTTGTTTTGTAAGAGTTGCTTCCCTTTGTATTTGGAAATGTTCTGAACTAGTTTCCTTATTTTGGAAGGAGATTTCTGTAATTAGTCATTTTTGAAATCTGTTTAATTACATTATTCCTTTATTTTTCTTTCTCATAATTCATTAAGTTCATTGCATAGAAGCAGCTTAATTAAAATAAAGCATCTGACACTGTTGTTTTGTGAAAAAGAAGTCCATACAAGTTTTAATACAATTTTAGATAATTGCCACCCAGTAAATTCCACATTAAAATTTGGAAAGATTGCCAAGTTAATGTACATGTATTTCACAGCACTCTTTTTGTCCTATATATTTATACATCATATTTGTTTGTGTGAATCTTTCAGAAATAAGTTAAGGTTATATATCTTATCTTAATTTCAAAAATAACTTAAGGTGATAAATAAATATCTTATATCTTGGACATTATCATATTCACCCCAACAATTTTAAACTGGACTTGCCCAGTCTTTGATTTGGTTAGGTTCAAATGCGACTTTCGGGGTGAATGGGTTAATTTAGTCTCCAATCCAAAAGAGTTCTACACAGAAACATTGTAAATATTTGATGTGACAGATAATTTGCATTTTAGATTAAAAAAAATCTATTTGTTTTACTGATGAAAAAACTATTCAATGGAAAAAATCTTCCATAATCAACGGGTGCTACTTATGTAAAGTAGCCTGTACCCTTAAGTTTATTGTAAATTTCATTGAATATTCAAGTCGAAGCTTCATGACATCTTAAAAGATAAGTCTACTCTAGTGGATTGAAGATGNGTTTAAAATTTTTTTTTTTTTTTTTTTTTTTTTTTTTTATTAAATGTTTGTAGAATATGAATTTATGGTGTATATTCTCTGAGGAAATTCAATTTTAATCCCAAGACCCACCAATTCTTTTCCCCAGTTTAATAATTTTGAAAATGTCACCAGTTCAGACTTCACATTAATTTTTAAGTACAGCAATATTTGATACAGCCGAGTTTGAGATCTCCACATTGTTGTGGTCGTCAATAGCCGATCAAAGGACACGTGATAGTCCTGTTGGGCAGAGAAAAGATGTCAGGTTGTCCCTAACGTCATTACCTCTTACCTCCGACGACAAATCAGTGGCGGATAGATGTGGGCTTACGCGGAAATGTACCACGGACATGTGATCACCCTCAGCTTTATCAAATAGGCTCCACGTTATTATATTTACTTCTATGGTTACACGATAAGGGCTTGCCAACCCTACAGCGTCTTCGACAACATCATTTAAGTTGCCGTTTACTCAAATCTGCATGCCAGCGTGCCATGTAGAATGCAAGTCTGCGGAATATCACAAGACATAACCAGTATTAGAACTGACTGTTTATTTTCCGTTTTTGTTGAATTGGTTAAGCATTAATAAAAACAACCCATTGTACGTGTAGTCTGTATTTTAGAACATTAAAAGTGTACATTTCTGTATATAAGTGTTCACAAATTAATGTTAAGTTACTGTAAAACCTTGTTATACTGCCACCATTTGTCTAGTGAAATTTTGGCATTATAAAGGGGTTGGTGATATAGGGAGGGAGATTCATAATGTCATTGTGAGAGAAAAGAAGGGAAAAGGAAACCTTGAAACATGAAATATGTCGGCAGTAAGTGAAGTGGCAAGTAGAACAAGTGGGCATTATAATGAGGTATGACTGTATAATGTATATTTCTGTTCAAGATCAACAAGTGTTTGTGGGTGGTTGGGTGGAGCACTAGATAATTCACTTTCACCAAGGCCGGCCGAGTGAGTGAGTGAGTGAGTGAGCTGGGGTTCCGTTCCCTGATCAGACGTGGGTACGGGGCCACTTGTCCGACCACGTTGGTTTTCTCCGGTTACTCCAGTTTCCTCCCACATTAAGACCCCCTGCGTGATAACACCCGGGCCAACAAGAATGATTAACAATAATAATTTGTAATAGCTTGTTTCGCAAATGTCGTAAAAGAATAAAGTTTATTTCTAACAAGTGTTCAGGGACTTTTGAGCAAGCAGCATTATAATTAGGTATTACTGGATAGGGTAAAATTCTGTCCAAGAGCAGCAAGCGTTGATGATCTTTGACTCAACAAGCTTAAGGGGCATTATATCAAGGTATTACTGTATTGTAATTGCTGTCCAAGAGCATCAAGTTCCAGGACTTTGAACGAGGGATATTATTTAACTATCATAATGAGGTATTAGTGTGTAGGGTAAAAT